GAGGCCTCGCTCCTCACACTCACCCGGGAGGAAAGGAGACTTCTTCTTCAGGGCCTTCTTGTCTCTCTTGTCCAGCTTTCCCGAGCCCTCGGGCTCCTTCTCCGGCTCATCTTCGGCTGGTTCAGCCTGCTCACTGGACACGGCGCTGAGGACTGGACTTGGGGTCTGGGTTGCGGGAGTCTTGGCATGGCTGGGGTCACTAGGATGAGCTGCAACTGGAATTGAAGACAGCCCACTGTTTTCTAAGGCTTGCTGAGACAGAACAAAACTAAAAGGTTAGAAGGTCCGAGAGCCCACGTCTGCCTACCACAATCAATACAAAGACGCAACGAGCCTTGCCTGCCCCTCTGACCTCCAGGGGGCACTCAGGGGTGGGGCAGGGGCTCCCAGCTCACTCAAGGCGACATCTCGCCCCACAAGGGCACTGTGTGGCAAGCACTTCCGTTCTGCTGTGACGAGAACGCCAAGGTGCCAGTTTGACTGTTAGCAGCCTGACCTGGGTGGGGCATGCAGGCCTCACTCCCCTGCGTCAGGCTGCTGTCTGGGGGGACCAGTGACAGCACACAGGCCCAGGCAGAGCCCGGTGCTCACCACCACAGCGGAGGAGAGGCTGGGGTTTTAGGGACCAACAAGAAGAGCTGGCTCTCTGGATACAAAGCAGCCCCGCCCCTCCCTCAGGACAGTGGGCCCCTTTCCTCCCACCCTCTCCCTGCCTCCCTCCCTGCCCAAGGGCCACATCTGCCTCCTTGGAAGCTAGGGCCAGGAATGGCTCTCTCACGATGGCAGAAGGGTCCAACTGCCTCAAATCATGACTGAGAACAGCAAAGAATGACAAGTGTCTGCAGGGACGGAGACTAGGGCGCTCCCAGAGGATTCAACTCGCTCAGAGACTGGGGTCCCAGCTGTAAGTCTACCGGCTCCCAAGTGGCTCAGGACCCTCCTGCCCTGTCCACAGGGCCCCCCCCCCCCCCACCAAGGCCTGCCCCTACCCTGGGTAAGCCCGCGGGGCCCTGCACCTGGCAGAGGAACCACCTGGTAGGAGGCACCCTCACCTGCAGGATGTCCTGGTTGATGCCCACGGTGATGCTCAGCTGTTGGCCAGGCTGGGGCGATGGGCTGGCATCCCCGGGGCCGGGCTCCGACAGCTCCAGAAGCTGCTGGATGACATCTGTGACGGCCTGTGCGCCCTGCTGGCCGGAGGTGGTCGTGACCTGGGCTTCAGTCGATGGGAGAGGTAAGGTCTGAAAGAGGGTGGCCTGGAACACAGTGACGTCCCATTACACAATGGAAAAGCACACAAGCATGACTTTTTAAAAGGAGGGGTGCACGCGGTGTATGCACATACAACTCTGCCACAGTTACTCAACAGTCAGATAGCACTGGGTGGGGGGAGGGCTGGTAGCGTGATAAACGCTCTGGGGGGCTGTAGCCTCTGATAGTGCAGGAGATACCGTGCTCAGCCACTAACCCAAAGGTGGGCAGTTTGAACCCCGCAGCCTCTCTGCGGGAGAGAGCAACCAGTCTCCTCTAAAGATGAAGCCCCGGAAACCCTAAAAGGCAGCCTTCTCTGTGGCTGGGGCCACCGAGGGCACCAGACAGCAGACTTAAGGGTCCGCTTCCCGCAGAAGCTCAAAAGCCGGGCCAGCGGAAGTGAGGAGTACTCAGAGTGAAATTGTAACTTAAAACGAATGCCACTCTCGGTGAACGGCACCTTCTGTCTGACTGTGATTGGGAGGGACGACATCACTCAGGCTCTCCTACAATGCTATACATTTTGTTCTTTTTGTTAAATCATTTTATTGGGGGTTCATACAACTCTTATCACAATCCATACATATATCAATTGTGTAAAGCACATTTGTACTTTCGTTGCCCTCATCATTCTCAAAACATTTGCTCTCCACTTAAGCCCTTGGCATCAGCTCAAGGGTATACATTTTGAAAAGCCACTGTTTTCTTTCACAAATCAAAGGCAACGGCGATGGTGGCGAGAGCCGAAGCAGACGACAGGTGCCCTCCCCTTCCTGGGCAGGAGGTCAGGGCCTGGGGGCTGCCGGGGCTGAGGGGCAGCTACAGGGCTGATTCAGTTAAACTCACCGTGAGGCCGTGGGCCGCCTCTGCACTGTTGGCCGGCGGCCCGCCCATGTGCATCTTGCTGATGTGCGTATTCAAGCTGCCTAAGCTCTTAAAGACACAGCTGCATTCAGTGCAGTTGTGCGTGGGTCCGTCCTTGACCTTCAGGGTAGGAAGAGAGACATGACTTCAGGGGAGGAGAGCCAGCGCCAATGCCCCACTGTCTCGTCCCCCAGCGTCAGCTCTTCTGGGGCACGGCAGCTCTCCATGGCCACAGGCCTAGCTCTCACACTAGGTCCACACACTGATCTCTGCAGACATCGGTCAAATTGATACGTGAACGAGTCTGCATGCTGTCTTTCTAAATCAACTTAATGTTATTTAGAACAACATAATCACACAACGTTCACCTAAAAATGAAACAGTTACACTGGATATGGGTTTCTTTATAATACTTAACATACCCCATTTGAGTAGCAGGCTCGACCTATCAGGAAGGGTTGCTTGGGTCGGGCGGTATGACAGTCTCTACTGCACTGTCTGCCTTTGCACTTACATTCTGCATTCACACTGCATTGTCTTTACGTCTGACTTTACTTTCTGAGTGCTTTACTACATTTTATTTTATTTATGACTGGAGTGATGCTTTTCATGAATCAAACCAATTTACTGGGATGAATACTTAATTTACGCTCCTGTCAAACTGGCACATATCTGCAGAGCTGGGTGTAGCACACAGCGATTGGACCGCTTAGGAGAAAGTGAATTTGGATACATCTTCTGTCTCGTTAAAGAGCTACGAATCAGCACATGGCGAGAGGCAATGTACAGGGTCTCTGTCATTTTCATTGAGGGAACTGCAGTGTGGCCCAGTGGCGGGGTCCGTGAGCCTGGTGTGGACGAACGGTCTGGGGTAAGATCAGCCGAGGCCCCGCCTTTTCTTCACTTCTAGAAAGTGGAGAGGCTTACATTTCCATCGTTGTCACCTAGTTAACACACTGTGCTCTGCTGAGGTTTTCAATTTCCTCAAACCAACAGTTCAGCGTAGGGCTAATGAGGTATGCCGGGCTGGAGCGTGACCACGCCGAGCAGCTCAGGGCTGAGACACACGGCTTGGAAATCAGAGGCTGATGTAAAATAAACCAAAACACCAAAACTATGAAAACACCAGACCCGTGTGACCTACCGTGAGTGAGGGACACACGGGACAGCGTGGGGAGTGTCTGAATGTGCGGGCTGGCCTGGAGACGGCCCACTCTGAGCCTCACCCAGACAGCCACTCCGGACTGGGGAAGTGGAAGGGCTACACAGCACTGGTGGACACTGTCCGTGGTGCAGTGCTGGACGGAGGTGCGAGCTGCAAACCCCAGGTGAGCAGTCTGCAGGAGGGAGATGAGGGTTTCTACGCCCGTGAGGGGTCAGTCACAGAAGCCCATGGGCAGTGCAGTCTGTCCTTGAGGGTCGCTGTGAGCCAGAATTGACTCTGTCAGGGAGTCTGAGTCTGAGTCACATGACAGACATCAAATACACTGAAGCCACAATCAAGGCACTGGTGCTACTGGAGGTCTGGTCTCCAGGGAGAGGGCCCGTCCCCCAGATCACAGGAAGGCAGCAAGTGCAGAAGCATTTCTAGAGGGTCGAAGCCAAGCAGACCAGTCCAACAAGGGATAAGCCTGGGGGCTGCATGCACAGGAGGGCTCACGAGGGCTCCTGGGGGCAGGGAAATGGCTGCTCCCTCCTGTCGGTGTTGGCACTGATGTTGGCAAGGGCCTCATGGGCGAGATTGGCAACAAAGGTAGCATGGAGAAGGCTTTTTCCCAATCCCATGTGTCTTATGCCTGGAAGATCTGTCTGCGCTTCGCTAGAGGGGCAGGGGTTTCGTGCAGGGACCGTGAAGATGCAAGACAAGGCGCTGCGGTCTCCTGACTCCCTCTCCATGCAGGCGCCCACGAGGCCGACCCAGGGAGGCAGAGCAGACCACGTGACAGCTTACCTCCGAATGAACTCTCTGGACGTGGGACTGCAGGTTCCCTTTCTGAGAAAAGGCAGCAGGGCAGAAGGCGCAGGCGTGGGGCTTTTCACCTGTGTGCTTAATCATGTGCGTCTGAAGCGCCCCCTTCTGGTTAAAGGCCTTTCCACACTCGCTGCATTTAAAGGGCCTTTCACCTGCAGGCAGAGAGAGGGGTGAGCCGGGGCACTGAGGTACTGCAGGGCTGCAGGGGAGGAGAGTGGAAGCTGCCCCCGCTGAAGGCTGGCGGACGAAAAGAGCCTGCTCCAATGGTGGTGAAGGGGCTCAAAATAGAGAAAGGAAAAATAAAAACAAGTTCACTGCCATGGAGTCAGTGCTGACTCAGAGAACCCCTGTGGGTTTGAGATTCGACACCAACTGGTGACGGGAGTAGAAAGTCCGGTCTTTCTCCCTTGAAGCTGCTGGCAGCTTCAAACTGCAGACCATGCGTATCGCAGCCCAACGAGCAAGTCTATGGGGGCCACGTTCCCAGCAGCAGGTTCATACTTTGGTCTCTGTGGCCCAGTTTGGCCTTTCTTGCAATAATATTTCCAACACTTGCACTCTGCCGCTGCACACCTCTCGGCCTGCAGCAGTGAGTGCCAGTGTCTCTCCACGTGTCCTGGGAAAGCTTCAGAGCTGTGACTCAATATCTAGAGGTGACGTGGACCCAGTCCACATGGTCTCTTCCCGCCAGCACTGCAGGAGAGGAGCCGTGTGGCCTGAGAACCAGCCAAGAACAAAGGCCAAGACACGGGGCCAGAACCAGAAGGAGCAACTGTGGGAGCCACAGGCGAAGCCAGGCTGCTCTACTCCCAACACTATCTCTGTGGGCCTCGCCAGGCCACGGAATTACTACTGATATATGCGCGGCTCAGCCGCTCTGGGGACCCTGTGCCTGCCTTCTCTGTCTATAAGGACACCGTGAGCGCCTCTGCCACACTCACAGTCCCACACTGCCATGGGATTCAGATAGATGTACTGCAAGTCTCCACCTTGCTGGGCAGCGTAACGTAAGCCAGCATCCTTTGGTCTCCTTGGGGGTCTGATCTGCTGAGAGAGAAACCTCCACCAAAGCCACTCCTCCGTGCATAAGGGCATACAAGACAAATCCCAGGATGAGCACAGTGGAGCCTGGGGCCTCTGTGTGAAGTGGTGGAGGGGTAAAGGGGTGGAGGCTGAGACCAAAGGCACAAGAGGCCGTGGCCAGAGATGGCAGGGCAGCAAAGGAGCCAGGCAGAGGCCCAAGGCCAAGGTCAGGAGCCCATGAGACAGCAAGAAGGGAAGTTCAGAGACAACATGACCAAGGCAGCACAGCAGGTGGGCCTCCTGGACCACATGGCTGAGACTGGGAGAGAGATTAGGCTCCTGGCTGGGGAGAGGTGCTGTTGTGGACCAAAGACTGTATCCTCACTGTTTACTGATCCTGGTTTGTGGAAACCGTCAACTTCCCTAATGAACCCCAACCATCATGGGTGTCATCTGTGAATTTTGTGTGACTACTGCAAGGAACCCTGGAATCCGGCATGACCGGATGTGCGTGGGGGCAAAGCTGACCTCTGCCTTGTGGCAACAGGGAAGCCAGAGGAGGTCAGCTGCGTCACAAACTTAACTCCCTCCCCTCCTCCCACCACACGCTGACTTGGTGCACAGTCTACTCTTGAATACAAGCCACCTTGTCCCCTGGCACCAAGCCTCGGACGTAGGGTAAAGAGAACTCAGTAGAATGGGAGATCATCGTGCAGCGGCCCCGGGGGAACAGTACTCACAAGACTCCTCAGTCCAGAGTGCAATGTCACAGGGAATGATTGACAATGTTATGCTTTTTTGTTTATGTGGGTTTTTGTTTTCCTGCTTTCAGTTTGTTTTGTTTCTCGGTTTTTTTCCCCTTTGTTTGACTGGTTGATTATTTGCCAGTTGGTTTGCTGCTGGGGATACTGTAATTCTGTCAGAAAATGACTGCCCATGAAAACCTCAGTTGCGCACATTCCATTGGCAAACAGACAAGATTCTGGGCACCTACTTCACTCTAGCCCCCATCCAAGAACAGTTAGTTCTGATAACACGGCCCTGCTCGATGCTCACCCTCATATAATAATCACTGAACATAAGGGTGCTACAGCAAGGTGTGATGAAGAAAGCAGATGGTGCCCAGCTATCAATCGGAATAGTGTCTGGGGTCTTAGAGGCTTGTAATCAAACAAGCAGCCTTCTAAGAGAGGAGTCAACTAAGCCCACATGGAAGCAGCACACCAGCTTGTGTGACCCAAAGATGACATGTACAAAATTCAAATATGATAAAGGAAAAAGTACCGGGGCTTAAACTGTGAACACCCAATTTGTAGAAGGCTATGGAGGGCAGTGGGAGCCCAAAACCCATCTGCAGAGCGTCTAGTCAGATTAAGCCGATGGCAGATCCCCTCCAGCCACAGGCAAAGGTCTGGAACAGCCTTACTGTCAAACACAGATCATCGTAATCCTGATTAGGCTGGATAAAACTTGATTCTAGGCTAGTTTACCTCCCTTTAGACCTAACCTGAATTTGTTCTAAGTGCAAGGATCTCTTGCTTAATCCTGGCTTTTTAAACTGAGATGGATGTCTTTTCTTTCCTGCTCATTGTGGTATCTTTATCTTCAGATTACCACTGTTGTATCCTTACCACTTCCTTTTACTTCTGGTCTCTATTGTTTCTGTTGGGTTCACGTGTTTGTGAAGCCCAGGAGTGGGTGCACACCAATAATAACTGAAGCAAGGATTCGTAAGGGATGTTGGGCTGTGGGGGTGGGATGGGAAGGGTGAGGGGATTTGGGGAGGAATCGGTGAAGGCTGGAAGGGGAGGGAGCACTAGAACTATATGTGGTTACACAGTTCATTTTAAAGGTGATTTAGTCCTGGGGAGGGGGGATGTTCTGAAATTGATTGTGGTAGTTGATTGTATAATTCTTTTTTTTTTTTTCTCATTTCCTACTATCTGTAATATTTTATTTATTTATTTATTTGGTTTTTTAATCTTTTTATTGGGGGCTCATACAACTCTTATCACATTTCATACATACATCAATTGTGTAAAGTGCATTTGTACATTCATTGACCTCATCATTCTCAAAACATTTCCTCTCCACTTAAACCCCCGGCATTAGGTCCTCATTTTTCCCCTCCCTCCCCGCTCCCCCTTCCCTCGTGAGCCCTTGATAATTTATAAATTGTTATTTTGTCATATCTTGCCCTGTCCGACGTCTCCCTTCACCCACTTTTCTGTTGTCCATCCCCCAGGGAGGAGGTCACATGTAGATCCTTGTAATTGGTTCCCCCTTTCCAACCCAGTCTCCCTCTACCCTCCCAGTATCGCCACTCTCACCACTGGTCCTGAAGGGATCATCCGCCCTGGATTCCCTGTGTTTCCAGTTCCTATCTGTACCAGTGTACATCCTCTAGTCTAGCCAGACTTGCAAGGTAGAATTCGTACAACTCTTCTTGACATGATTGAACAATTGAATTGTATGGTGTGGATTATGTGCCAATAAAACTGGGGGGGGAAAGCCAACTCAGGAGCAACTCCAATATGCAGTGGGGGCTCCTCCTGCAAACACCCCAATGCTATCTCAGGACGCCCCCTGACAGCTGGCAGACAGCTTTTTACCAGCTTCAGAGATGAAACCACAGCAAGATTACACAATTCCGTGATGCTGAAACAGAAGAGAAGCCAGGTATGACTAGCTGGCTCCCGGCACACCTATGTGGATCTAAGACAGTCACTCATCTCCCAGGAGAACCTGCACACCCGTACCTGTGTGGATCCTGACGTGGCGTGTCAGCTGGCTGGGCTTTTGAAAGGTCTTCCCACAGTGAGGACAGGAGTACGTGAACCCGCTTCGGTCAATATTCCGGTTATATGACCTTGTACCTGAGACCCTAGGATGAAACAAGGAAGTGCTCATTAAGTGATCATTCTTAGATTACAGTGTCCAATCAAATGGACTTGGAAGTCCAAATGAATGGTCGTCAGAACATGCTTTAATGAAATCGCAGTCCTATAGAGAGCTCAAGCTAGGGACACACACAGACACACACCATCCATACACACAGACAAGGGAGGTTCACGTAACATAAATATTCACATCACATAAACATACACATACACATAAAAAGGGAAATGGGATTTTTGAAGCGTGCATGTAGCTCGCACATATATGGAGGAGTAACCAAAAAAACCCAGTGCTCATTTGTTTTTTTGATGTGAGGGGGATAGTGAATGTGGAGTTCATCCTCCCAGGTCAGACTGTTCATCAAGCTTTCTATTTAGAGGTTCTGAAAAGATTATGTAACAGTGTGCAAGAAAAAAGGCCCGATTTGTGGCAGACGGGAGACCGGTTTTGTCACTAAGACAATGCACCTGCTCACGCAGCCATCTAGTGCACCAGTTTGGGGCAAAACACAGCATGCCTCTATTGCCCCACACATCTAACCTCACTCCATGAAATTTCTTTTTGTTTCTGAGAAAGCAGAGGGGCGTGAAAGGACAGAGAATTGATGAGGAAGAAGAGGTGAAGACAAAAAACGAGGGAGATGCTGTCAGCCATCCAAACAGATGAGTTTGAAAAATGTTTCCAAGAATGAGAGCGCAGATTTGACAAATGTATCGAGTGGAATGGAGAGTACTTTGGTAAGGGTGTTTTGTAAAAAAATTTAAATACATAGCTTTGAAAACAATTCTGGTTTGGGGGGGTACCCCAGCCCCTCAATTCATATATGTAGTTTTACATACATGTACAAGTGTTTCTATATATACATATGCAAGCAGGCCACAGCACAGCAGATTCTGGCTCACAGCAGCCTGTAGGACTCAAGAGAACTCCCCATCAGGGTCCCAAGGCTGTCAATCTTGACAGAAGCAGACTGCCCCATCAAACAGTTCGATCAGCAGCTGACCATTTAACCACTGTGCCACCGGGGCTGTGCCCATGTTGACACACACACATGGATTCATTATCAGGAAACCTGTTCTCTCCGTTTCTAATAAGAGGACCCAGTTCTCGAGCAGAGAGCAGGCCGACACTGGGCACACCTGATCTTGCAGTGCGTCTTCATGTGCTCCTTGAGCTGGGCGGCTGTCTCCAACTCCTTCTTGCAGGCCTTGCAGAGGTGAGTGCGGCGGCTGGCCAGCTCCTGCCGGTGCTCCTCCAGGTGGATGGCCAGCTGGCTTTGCAGTGTGAATTCGTCCCCACACTCGGAGCAGATGAGGTTCTGGGGGAGGAAGGTCCATGTGAGCCAGCATCCCCAGAGCTCAGGAGGGCCACCAGAGCCAGGGGGTGGCCCAGGAGGACCCAGTGCTCCTCTCACAGCCCAAGACACCTGCCCTGAGCATGCACACCCTGATGAGTGAGGGTGTGATGCCCCACCGCCACCGCCGCTCTTTGGTCCCCAGACCTCTGCAAAGGCCACCCCCTCTTCCTCTGTGGGCCAGAGCTCAGTGTCCACACACAAGACCGAGTCCACCCTTGAGGGGCTGCTCTGCAGAGAAGGGTGAGTGTGCGAGTAAGTGTGCACAAGTAAGCCTGGGTGTGTGCCTAAGTGTACGTGAGGGTGCATGTGTACTTATGGGTGTGTGCATGTGTGCACACGTGTACGAGAGCACACGCATGCATGCATGCCTACTGCTCCATCAGGCCTCCTGCCTTGAAGGAGGGGATGTATGCAACAAGCCGCGAGAACATCAGCAGCTAAATTTTATTCCTCAGTGATTTTAAAAGTCTGCTGACTTTTCTGATTTATACCTCTGTTTGGTGTCTTCCTTAACAGTTACGGCTGTGTTTAAATCCATTTTGTGAGGAATATTCTACCAACAACAAAATGCCCTCATCTGATGCAGAACTCAGCACCTGGATCCATCCTGAAGCTGTCAGTGTCCAACCCCGAGGCAATCTTCCTGTACGTCTACAGTTGGGGCCGTTATCGGGGAGCCCCATAGATTCTCTAAGGTTTAAGGGACACTGCAAGAGAGCCCTCATAAATTCTTTGTCTAAGATTTGGGGTCACTGCAGAGGAGCCCCCATAGATTCTCTAAGGCTTGGAGGTCACTGCAGGGGAGCCCCCAGAGATTCTCTTAAGGTTTGGGGGACACTGAGGGTGTACCAAGCACAGTGCTGGCACGCGGCCTGCTCATAGCCCCGCTCCTCCTCAGACTCATCCCAGGAGGCCGGCAGCTCATCGCCTTTGTGTGTGCTCCCAGGCTGAGTGGGAGCTGAGCCTGCTGGCTGTAGAGCTCGGGGGCTCACATCTGGGATCTGCCAGAGGGTCCCGAGGCAGACATCTGTGCCAGGCGGGTCACAAGGTCCTTCCTCCCTTCCTCCAGTCACCACCTAGGTTCCCACACCTTTCACGAAGGCAAGGTTTTAAACTAGGGCTCCCCGATGGCCATCCCTCCTGCCTGAGCCCCCCCTGGGAGGAGATGCTAGTGACCTCACGGGCACACCTGGACACGGATGGCCCGCAGACACAAACATCTGTTCAAACGAACAATCAGAGCAGGGGGGTGGGTTCTGCCAGCCTGAGGTAATGATGGGACCCCCAGAGAGCAGAACGCGTCCTCGGGGGACTAGAGTTGGCTGAGGCTGCAGGGGCAGGGCTTGTCCCAGGAGGCAGAGCTAGGGCTGCAGCTCCTGGCGCAGGGTTACCTCCTCCTTCTCATGCAGCATGATGTGCGCCTTGAGGCTGGCCACCCTGGAGAACTTCTTGTTACACACGGGGCACGTGGGGTCCTCCCCGTTGTGGGTGCATTTGTGCAGCCTCAGGTTGAATTCAACGTTGAAAGTCTGGGGGCACTGGTCACATCGGTGCGGCTGTGTGGAGAGAAGAATACAGAAGCCAATGCCGTAAGCCTCTCAGTGCCTGACGGTGCTGCTGGCCACACTACACCAACATGCACTGGGCAGTCGTCCTGAGGGCCCAGCCACGTACAAGTCACCCTCGGCACCGGGTGTGGGCTTGAGGAAACACGCATGTCTGACCTCAGGCTGAGTGTTCAAACCAGGGCGTGCCCGGCAGTCCCTGGGAGAAAGACCTCTGGAGGGATCTGGAGCAGCACCCTGAAGAGGTGTGTGGGGACTGGCAGTGGTCCAGGGCAGGAGCTAGGAAACCAGCTCCAGGCTGGCAGAGTTCTGGCACCCCGGCTGATGCTGGACCCTCAGCCTGGCCCAGGGTCACTCCGAGTCGGAATTGATTTGATGGCGGTGAGTTTGGCTTTGCGTGAGTAAGCTGAGGAGCCTGGGTGGAGTGGTGGGCTTGCACTGAGCTTCTGAACACAAGGTCAGCAGTTCAAAACCACAAGCCTCTCCAAGGGAGAAAGATGAGGCTATCTGCTCCGTTAGCGTTACAGTCTTGGACACCTGCAAGGACAAGTCTATCTTGTCCTAGAGGTCACTATGATTCAGAATCTTCTAAACGGCAGGGAGTTTTTGGCTAAGTGACTGCAGCCCCAGACTGCAGTGGATGGCTGCAGGGAAGAAAGTCCTAAGCTCTAGTCAAGAGGGCGGTGCCCTCCCGCTCACAAGCACCCCCGCCGCCCAGGGCGCAGGAGCAAGCCCGCCGGACTGTGCATGGTCAGCGTGGACGGGCACGTAAGCACCTGCGCAGACTCAGAGGAGCCCAGCCCGCCCACGCCGCGCCCACCTTGTCATTGCGCTCGTGCTCCTTCATGTGGCGCTGGAACTGGGCCTCTCTGGGGAAGGACAGCAGGCAGATCTCACACTTGTGGAAGGTGGGAACGGGGTCTGCATAATTGGTGTTCTCCGCACTCTGGGTTAAGACGCCGTCTACAAAAGCGCACGAGAAGAGCCGTCAGCAGCCAGCCTTCTTCCTGTCAGCTGCCACGGCCGACCAAATGACAGCAGAGCTTCGCTGCCGTCACGTGCTGAAGGTGGGCACGCTTGCCCATAAGGAGTGAGGACCAGGGAGAGAGATGCCCGCGACTCCAGGCGAAAGGACTGAGAGCGCGCATTCGCTTGGTTAGGGGGAGCGCTGCAAACTGGAACGCGCACAACCCGCACCGAGGCACGCACGGACACGCGCCAACGCCACGGCGGGCACTTTGAAGTCACCACCGGCGCCTGAGACACGAGGCCTCTGGGTCCCGGGACGCCATCGCTCCGCCTCCGTTTCTGAAGTCAACAAGGAAACAAACCTCCACGCGAGTCCATCGTCCGGGGCCTGCTCTGGACCTCTGAAGGAGGAGGCGAAGCCGGCCACGGAGAACCGCCTTCGGCTCCCTCCGTGGTGGGCGAGGGAGGGCTGGGGAAGGGCGGCGGTAAGCCCCGCCCTCGAGCGGCCAGGCGCTGAGATGGGTGCATGCAGGACTGGATCACGCTGGAGACAAACCGATGCCCGAGCATGGAGAATGGCAGAAAGGGTGCCACTCGTCGCAGAGAGCGCGCGGCAGAAGCGAGCACGCCCGCGTCCCGCACGGTGGCGGGAACTTCCGGACTCGCTGCACGTGCGGCTCTCTTGCACCAGCTGCGGGGCGGCAGGAAAGTGGGCGCCGGTGGGGCGCCGGCAGGGGCTTCCGGGGCTCAGGCCGCAGTCGCAGGTATCTGCAGGCTGGGCGCTGCTCGGAGCCTTGAGCTAGTGGCCCGGGCTAGGCCACTAACCGGAGGGCGGGGTTGGAGCCCGCCCACCACCCAGGAGCGAGGCCTGGAGGTCTGCTGTCAGAAACGTGCAGAGCTGGGCGAGCGCCGCCGGCTCTACTTGTACTGTGAGGTGCCGAGCAGGGACACAGACTTGACTGCAACCATCCCCTCACCTACGGTGGCGTCCCCAGGCTAGAAGGGGGCTGGGGCAAGAGAAAAGCCCCGCCCCCCACCCTCGCCCAGTCAGCTTCAAAAACATTGTGGGGGAGCCTGGAGAGAGAGAAACCCAGTCCCAAAGAAATGCTAATGTACGTTCTTCAGAGAAACTGCGACTCTGCTCATATGCAAAACGAGTCTCCTTTGGAAAAAGCATCACTTGTTAGTCGTCTCCTGCTAGGGGAGCCCGAGGGCCCGGCGTGTGTTAAGCTTTGGACTGTGCACTGGAAGGTTGGAGGTGTGGGCCCACAGCAGCAGCTCGGTGGGGCAAAGCTGTGTAAAGACATCCAGCCTCGGAAGCCCTCCAGGGAGACCTAATGCCCCACGGTGTTCCTGTAAGGAGAGCAGTGGGTTTGTGCTCTTTTCAGCTGTAGCCATCTTTTATTCAAAGACTATTGGAGGTTGCTTCAAACAGTGTATAGGAAAACAGAATAGATGAAAAGATCATGGAATCTTCCCGTGAACTTTGAAGTACCCTCTGCTTTCCAAAACCTCTGCACTAAACGAATGGCAGAGGTTCTCTGGCTCCCAGCACCCACATGAAATGACTGTGACCACATCGATTAGTATACAGGTATCTGCCCACTCAATGGCCACTTGGACAACATCTGAGGACCAACAAGTTTGTTGTTGTCATCGTCGTCTCCGTTGTCATAAGGGAAAGCAGCTCTCCTATCATCTCCTGCTGACGGTTTTTGAAGACCCCCAGCCCCTGCAGCACTGGACAAGGAAAGACGGCAGGCCGGAGAGGCAGGGAGCGTGGCTCTCAGGCGCTGTGACCTGGAAAGGGGCACAGAGGAATGTTTTTCCCATCATGGCAGCACCGCCTCATTCTCTGAAGATTGCAAGGCTGTCCTTTGAGAAATCTTACCCCATCTAGCCTACACCCCTCTCTTGCCCCTTCAGACTTCTTTCTGTTCCCCAAATTCAAAGAACAAGTAAAAGGAACATAATGTGAGTCCCTCGAAGGCTAAAGCTGTCATTAAAAGCCGGTGCCAAGCTAAGGGCACAGATTCTCTGGGGAAGGCTCAGAGGGCTGAAAACCCGCCTCCTGAAGAGTCAGATCCAGATGGAGGGGTGTCAAGAAACAGTAGCCTTGCATTTTTATTTTTGTGCCTCCTGAAAGTCCCTGTGATGCAGCAGCAAGACTTTGACTTAGCTTTGTCCAGTCAGTGGAGACAACTACAACGAACGCTCACACACATTAACTAACCCCTGAGAGATCACTCTGTCTGGGTTTAATATTCTAAGAACTTTAGCCTCATGGGATAACTTGGTCAATTGGCATAAACTAGTTCACAAAGCTCATGTGAGGTGAGTAGCACCTGGGGCCTTAAGCACTTGCGAGTGGCCCTCTCAGATACACCTGTTGGTCTCTAGCTATCAGTCCCCCCAAGAATAAGGACACCAAAATCTGAGCAGAGGCAAGTCTTCAAGATTGACAGCCTGTACAGCCGTGACCCCATCGACCCTGAGACCAGAAGGAGTAGATGGTGCTGAACTCCCACCACAACCAGAGTCACATATAGAATGAGAGAAAAACGTAGGGCAAAATTCAAATTCCTAGAAAAGGCCAGGCAAACTCGACTGGGTGTCATCAGAGGGTGCCCTGAGACACTTTTTAAACCTTACACCCAAACTATCATCCCGAGACTACCTCTTTTAGCAAGATAGCAGAAGGGGCACACAAAGTATATACCTATGAGAACGGCACTGTAGCTGAAAAAACCACCCACAGTCACCAAGGAAGCAGCACTTCTGTAAAGCAAGGTGACTTCCTCTGGCCGTGGTGGCCTGAGGTGACTAGCCAAAATGTTCATTCCTCACAATATCTGGCAAATCAGAAGGTTCAAATCTCTGGGTGCATTTTAAGAACATGGGTGAAAGCACCCAGGCCATCGAGGCTATGCACATCCAAAAGGCCACCAAATATCTAGAAGATGCCCCTTTGCAGGAGCTGAGTATGAAGTGGGTAGGTGTGCCCAGGTCAAGCAGTGGAGTTGGGCACAGGGTTGGGTCAAGCAGTGGAGTTGGGCACAGGGTTGGTGTCCCAAAGAGTGCTGAATGTTTGCTGTGCATGCTTGGAAATACAAAGGCAATGCTGAACTGCAGGGTTTAAATGTGGGTGAACAAAGTCCCCAAGATGCACCACTGCACTTACAGAGCTCATGGTCAGATCCACCCATCCATGAGCTCCCGCGGCGACAGTGACATGATCCTCCCTGAAAAGGAACCCGTTGTTCCTACACCACTGGAGACTCCATCAAAGAATAAGATAGCCCAGAAGATACTGATGAAGCAAAGACCTTTGGCTCAAGAGTGAATTAAGCTTAAAATAAAAGCTGATAGAAGTATAAATAAGTAAACTACGCAAAGATGAGAAGCTATGGTGACAGGGATTTAGAGTCCGAGAAACAAACCACTGGAACACATTGTGTGAAATCTGTCTAATGTCACTGCACGATCTGTGTAGAAACTCAGACAAGACACTGTCTCGTGCTTTCAGCCAACACACAAATGGCTTAAAGTGATTTTCATGTGCATATCAAGAAGAGACTCGGGGAGGGAGGCGATCAGCTGCTTCAGTGCGAAGCTGAGCTGAGCATCTCCTTGCCAGCCACGGGCTGCCAGAAATTCACTGAAGTGGAAGATGAAGGCAAACTCTGCCCACAACTTTGACGCGAAGCCACAGAAGTGGTCACAGAAGTCGCCAAGGCACTGGGCGATGAATGGAAGCGTGATACCATCCGCATCAGTGGGGTAACAACAAGCAAGGGTTTCCCATGAAGCACGGTGTCTTGACCCATCTGCTGTTGGGGAAGGGGTACTCCTGTTACAGACCAAGAGAACTGGGGGCAGGATGTGCAAGCCCATCCGGGGCTGCACTGTGGATGCCAATCCGAGCACTCTCAACTTCATTATTGTAAAAAAAAAAAAAAAAAAGCGCATGCACGCGCGTGCTTGAGAAGGATGTCCCAGGACTGACTGCTACAACTGTGCCTCGTGGCTGGCGGCACAAAAGAGCGAGCAGAATCCACAAACTCTTCAATCTCTCTAAAGAAGGTGATGTCTGCCAGTGTGGCGTGAGGAAGCCCCTCAAAAAAGAAGGCTGGAAACCAAAGCACCTAGGAGTCAATGCCTCGTGACTCCAAGGTCCTGAAGCACAAGCACTGGCATATCACCCTTAAGAAACAGTGCACCAAGGACAAGGAGGAGAGGGGGCTTCCGGATCTACCAAGCTTTTGGCCAAGAGAATGGAGGAGGCCAAGAAAAACATCAGGAACAGATTGCCCAGAGATGGGGGCTGTCCTTGCTGAGAGCTTCCACCTCTGAGTCTGAGTCCAGTCAAAAATAAAATAGCTTTCTAAGAGCCTCAAATATATAAGCTCCTCTATTTTTAAAACGTGATTTCAAAAAATAAACCTAAGAAGTAGAAAGATATAATGAAAAGAAAAAAATCAGAAAAATGCAAAATAAATATGAGTTGAATTATAAACAAAACCTTAACTCTTGGAAGTAATAAAACTGATAAACCTAAAAGGGGATTAAAAAAAAAAAGAAAGAAAACCCAGTTTACAATGTCAGGGGAAAGCCGGGCCCTCCCCGCAAAGGCTCAGACAAGGAGGGGCATGGCCAGGGGAAGCCCACACCGCCCGCCCTGTGGTGCGGGGGTTCCACCCTGCAGCAGGAAGGTGGGGCAGTCCGCCTCTGTGTAGGAAGAGCACATCCCTAGAAGCCTTAGGGGCCAGTTCTCCTGGCGGGACAGGGTTGCTGTGAGTTGAAATGGGCGGCCGCCACAAGGGTTGTTCGTTTAAGTTTCATTAACAATGTTATGCTAAAGAAACATGAAACTTAAAGGAATTCTTAGAAAAACAAAACTTGTCAAAACTAATATCACTGAGCAATGAGACGAGCACAAGACCAATAGAAATCTGGAGTTCTATAGCTACTGAAAAACAAAAACACTAAATTGGCATTTATAAATGCTCCCTAAAGAAGTTTCAACATCCAGAAGATTTCTGCGGAGGACCCCGAAACCTGCAGACACCTTTCGATTCTGAACTGAGCCCACCTCCAGGATAGGCCCATGAAGTGACAGGATGCTGGCAGGAGCGTGCCCTCAGAAGAATCAACCACAGGGTTAGAGCAGAAGGACAGCATTTGCCCCAAACCCAAGCTGAGGGCTGGCTGGGCAGGAAAGAGGACATAGGTAGCCAGGAAGCCCCCCAGGGTGGGGGCGGGGAGGGGGGGAGATGATGTGGGAAGAGGGCTGTGACACTTCGGGATGGTAACCAGCGTCAAAGACATGTGCAGACTCTTGAACGGGAAACTGCTGTGCAACTCAGTGTTGAAGCTCCCTGCTTCAGGCCTTCCCTTCTCCACGAGAGGACAAGGAAGGAGTTCAATGACAGAGCAAAGGGACCATGTATTCTGACTCCCAGGGACCCTGCAGAGCAGGAAGAAAACCTGGTTCCATCCAAGGCTGTACATTTTCACAGGAGCAGACAGCAGCCCCACGCCTAGCCCACTGCACCACCAGAGCC